CCTACCAATAAGGCGGTGGATAGAGCTAAAAGATAACTTCGACGTGTCAACGGGGAAGGAGATGGGGTAGGGGGTGAGGGTTACGTAATAGGTTACGTCTAATCAGCGTCTGTATGTGTCTTCTTACACTTTCAAGTGCGTAGTCTTCGGGTCAGATTCACCCTCTTCCTAAGAATCTGGCGACACCCGTAATCGGATGCACGGCCACGGTCAAAAACAAATTACACGGATGTTGCGGCTAGTCTATTATATCCATCAGCTTTGCCTCCAGCGCAATAAATCGAACAACTATTACAACAAACGTCATATGATTACAGAAACAAGTATCAGCACACATGTTTGGAAAACGCTCTACTCCAGACTCCAAAATGCGATAAAGCACAATCTAGCACAAGACCATCCTCAGCGTCGCCGGATATGCCGGCGTATTGCAGCCAGACTAGGGCGGTTGCTATTTTGAGACATCCATGATCTCATGGTCAATTATCCCTGGCACTTTTCACTCCCTGCGGAGAAAAACAGCGGCGGACAAACCAGCCCACATCGTGTCCGTGGGACATCATCGTTCCGTTTCAGGACCGCGGTACGAGAATACACATACATAATTGGGACCACGAGGATATATTGAGCCTACAAGAGAACCGCTCCTAATTAGTTAGCATCCCCAAAATATAACGGCGGTAATTTGTCAATTAGTCAGCACTAACAGTAAAATCACAATGGGACATCATTGTTAGTGACGTAGGCGAATCACCACAACTAATGTAAGCGAATCACCACAACTCATTTGCTCCACGATCGAACAAGATGTATAGGTCAACGTGATTCTACCACAAGTGCTCTAAAAGTCAATATAGAAGACGTTAAACAATAACCAACAATCAATAAGTCACTTCTCCGGCGATTGATGGAAGCCCATGCGTAGTCTCACTCCTACCCATTGGTAACAGAGACCCCTGAATAGCATTATCCTGATCCCATTCGCTGCAGCCCCTAGCTGCGGAGGTCTGGCGCTCACGGCGCCCTCTGCCCGCCCGGTAGGCACTCACTACTCAGCCGCGCCGTCCAGAGGCCGCCGCCTCCCGCAGCAGCTGCAGCACCATCCCGGCCAGACGGAGCGCGTCCTCCTCGCGCACCCGGCCGCGCAGGTAGTTGAGGTCGTAGCACAGCCGGCCGGACACGGTGTGGAAGCAGTGGCTGCCGAACGACGCGTCCATGGCCGGGTGGGCGCGGAAGGCGCGGTGCAGCTCCTCCAGCCGGACCGGCGCGCCGTCCTCCCCGGCCGCCGCCGCGCCGTCCATCACCCCCAGGTTGTTGATGTTGTACACGAACTTACTGCCGTTGGAGGCGGAGGCGCTCTTCTCCATGCCGGCCACTATCCGCTCCGGGGTCATGAAGCGGCCGAGCAGCTTCATGGGCAGCAGGGGCAGCCGCAGCTGCAGCTGGCGCTCCAGAGCGGCGCCCACCCGGCCGGCCACCGTCCACAGTCCGTCCCCGTCCAGCGAGACGGTGCCGAGCGCGCCGGCGGCCGCAGACAGCTGCCGGCCCTCGTCCGGCGCCAGGTAGCGGTGGGCGCTAACCAGCCACATGGTGGGTAGCGGCGGGCACGGGCCGCCCAGCAGCCGGCCGGTGGCCACACTGACGGCCGCCGACAGCGCCGAGTTCACGGACACGCCGTGCCGGCGGCACTGGGCGCGCAGCGCGGCCGTCTCCTCCGCCGACAGCGCCGCCGGCACCGTCCGGTTACAGTAGCTCACCGAGGGGTCGAACGGCGCCACGAACCGCTCCAGGAACGGGTGCCGGCGCCGGCTCAGCACCACTGAGAGCGCGCGCGCCAGCTCGCCGAGAACGGCCGGGCGCAGCGGCAGCCGCTCGGAGCGCAGCAGCTGCTCGACGGGCGGGGATACAGCCGCCGGCGGGGTGTCGCCCAGGGGCCGACCGGCGGCCGCCTGCGCAAGGGCGGCCACCAGCCGGCGGCAGATCAGGCCGTTACTGATACCGTCGGTGATGGTGTGGCACAGCGAGAGGAACAGTGCGGCGCGGTGCGGCGGCCGCTCGGCGCGGCCCGGCAGCAGCGTGGCCTTCCACAGCGGCCCGGCGGCCGGGTCGATGGTCTGTTCGCGCAGCTGGCGGTGGTGTTCGGCCAGCCAGTCGTCCGCCGGAGGCAGCACGGACAGCGGTACGTCCGGACACGGCCCCGCCACCAGGTGGTGCACGCCCTCCACCGGCGCCACCCGCGCCCGCAGCAGCGGCAGCTGCCTGGGGATAATATAGACACACGGCGGGTAAAAATGGACACATGAAGGTTGAGCATAAAAACACACCTGACTTCTGGAGGTCAGATGGGCAGCCACTGACCTCTGGGGGTCAGACGAACAGACACTGACCTCTGGGGGTTAAGCAAACAGACATTGACCTCTGGAGGTCAGAGGGACAAACATTGACCTCTGAAGGTCATACGGGCAGACACTAACCTCTGGAGGTCAGACAGCCACACTGACCTGTGAAGGTCAGACGGACAGACACTGGGACCTGGAAGTCGGACGGACATACACACACTGACCTCTGGAGGTCAGGCGGACACACTGACCTCTGGAGGTCGGCGAGCGCGTCGCGGACGGTGTCGGCCTGCAGCGGCCGCTCCGACCTCAACAGTAGCGAGTACTGCAGCAGACTGGTGCCGGCGCGCCGGGTGAAGAGTTCGTGCCACATGGTCTCCTGGGTGCCCAGTCGGCGCAGCGCGCGGCCCTCCCGGACGGCGGCCGAGGCCGCGGCCATGGCCACCCGTCACTGCAAGGGACGTCAGAGTTGCCGACGAAAGACAGGCAGCGGCGACACCGATCGAACGGTCAGAATCAGCTCGCAGTAAATTCACGGATTAAGAATAGCCTCATCTTTTAACCCGGCAGTTGCTAGGGTATTTCGCCACCCACCGTTTGCTGGGGGGGGGGGGGGCGTTAAACGCCCCCAGCCGATAACTCGAGAACCAATAGGCCCAGCGAAACGCACGAGGCGGCAAACGAAAGAACGCGACGAGATGAGAACGCTTCAGATGAGTACCTTAACCCTCGCCGGCACAGGCCATTTTGCGTCCTTCGACGGCACAAGGGGGGGGGGGGGGGGTACGACCCCCCTCGCGTTTGGCCCCTGATCGAGCTAGAGCTTCGCGGAAAAAACGAGCGTGTTGCCCGTCACGAGAGGAAGCCGATGATACCCAATCTTAAGGTCCTAGGTCATCGGGTGACCTTCCAGGTCAGGTCAATGACCCGAAAACCGGGAAAATCGGGACCTGTTAGAAAGTCGTAAAGTGTGGCTGTTATGTGGTTTTCCGGGGTGCTGATCACGAATATCGTGTTAGTTTTGATCAGAGATGATGTCTTGAAGCATTTTGAGCAGATTGGGTCAGGTCAGGTCAGGTCAACCGGTAGGGGTTGTGACGGGTATTCGTAATACGTGTCAACCGCCTCTGACAGCTTCGTAACATGTTACGAAGGCACCAAAACTACTTCGTAAATGTTTAAATGGTTGCTAAATTCGAATTCAGCTCCAAAAACTAGCCTAGAAACATGTAAAACTCGAAAAAGTGAACCGAGGTCACCCGAGGTCACCAAAGGTCAATGACCTGACCTGACCTTCAGGTGACCTTGACACCCACCCTAATCTATGGAAGCAACATCAAATCACATGTTTGAACGTTTGAAACCACGAAAAGCTTGCAAACGCGCGGCTAATGCGAGCGGACATACGCCGAATCGCGATTACGGCCAAACATGGTCTCGGAAAAGAGGTCACAGGTCAAAGGTCATTTGGGTCATGGTCATGAAATTTTCAGGCTAGGTGTAAAATTGATCAATGCGAGGGTACTGAAAGTTTCGTCGCGATCGGCCGCGTTTTACGCGAGTTATTCGCGAAAAACCTTAGGGGGGGGGGGTTGCATCAACTGTGCCGGCAAGGGTTAAAGTTGAATTTTGAGGTCACAGGTCGGGTCAAGGTCAGGTCAAACACCTGAAATCGGGCTTTCAGTAGCATGGACTTCAGGACTTCGCAATGGGCGCCTCTCGTCATAAACTCTGTCAAAACGGTGCAAAATCCATCATATAAGGCCTACAAGAGCGTCAGCTCCATGTAGGGGTCAGTCAAGCATAGGTCAGGGTCAACGTCATGTCAACCGGGTAGGCACATATCCCCGAAAATCAAAACTGATATTCGCAGTCTGTGACACATGTTTTATGGGTAATTTGGGGCGTAGAACACGACGGTGACATTCATTTTATCATATGTGTACGTGTTTGGCTCAAAAAGTTCAATTTAAGAAATGCATGTATCATGGTCGTGGAGTTGTCACGAGAAATTGCCAAGACTCAGTTCAAGATTTTGGAAAATGCGGAACAATAATCAATAATCGAAGATAGCCATTTGATTGCTCATGGTATTGGCAGTCTAATGGCGTTTACGGCATGTCTGTATGTCTATTCTGTGATTTTATATGATTTTTTGAACATATGCCGTTTTTGGTCGAAAACTCAAATCATGACGTCACTAAAACCTCGATATCTCAAAAATTTTCCGACCGATTTTTTAAAAACTTTGTCACAGTAAACTTCAATCAATTCCCTACAGGTAACCAACGTTTAACGCCCCCCCCCCTCCCCAGCAACTCACGGGTTAACTCGCAATGGTGTTCAAATTGCGATACCACAAAATACCTAGGAGGAATAACACGAACATAATTGAGCAAGGGAGCACTGCCGACGCCAGCCACAGTGTTTAACGCTGTAGGTATACGTAACTGACCCATAGCCGCAAATTCATCAAAGGGGCAACATTTCTTACAAAAAGCATACCCCGGGGGTTCTTTGTCCTATTTGAGGAGCATACCCCCAATCCTATTTGAGGAGCAGCCAGGCACGTAGCCAGGATTTCGCTCGGGGAGGGGCAACAGGTCGCGGTCTAGTGTCGTACCCCCTCCAAAAAAGAGAAACTCCTCGGATTTGGCCCACTATTTTTGGGGTGTGTGATGCAGCTGTTTTTATTTTTATTTTTCATTTAATCTAATTTTGTTTTTCGCCTTCAGGGGGGGTACTGAAAGTTTCGTCGCGATCGGCCGCGTTTTACGCGAGTTATTCGCGAAAAACCTTAGGGGGGTTGCATCAACTGTGTCGGCAAGGGTTAAAGTTGAATTTTGAGGTCACAGGTCGGGTCAAGGTCAGGTCAAACACCTTGGTGTTTGACCTGGGGGTCACGGGGTCAAACTTTCAGTATGACCCCGTGGCCCCCTTGGCTGCGTCCCTGGGAGCCGCGAGCACAGTAGGGGAAAGTGGGGTAAGACGGTCAGGGTAGGTAAGAAGGGCACCCCTTCTGCAGACCAAACCAATAGCGCTACGAGCAAGAAAAAATAAGACCAGAGTTGCCTTTCCCACTACACACCACCATTGAAGTCTGGTGACTTTGTGTTTAGTCGATAATCTTTTATTTTGATTTCTTTAAAACACTCATTTCATTGAAAACATCCATAATGTATTGTGCAAGCTTTTGTGTGCAGCACTATAGAGTTAAAAACTCGCAATCACTTGTGGCACACTCATATGCCACCCGTGTTCATTTACCGCGGATTTGCTTTGTCTGCATCAAATTGTCCGCAGAGAAAAATCGTGCTGAACTTCTGACATTGAGTTTGGGGTAAGACGGGCAACTATGAATCCGATGGGTCTGTAATGGTGAAAATATTTTTGTTGCTGTAGGAAAAAAGAAGCATTTCTAATAAGAATATGTTCAATTCCGATGCTTACAGACATGTTAGCAATATTCTTTCGGCACATTTTATTCTCGAATAATGAATGTGAAAAACGGTTCTACATGGCTTCTGAACTAGGGCCTATATACGAGCATACGCCTTCTGCACGAATCTCGTATACTGCCATTTCCGAAGCACTTGAGACCAACGAGCGACTGTATCAATGCGGCTAATCTCGGGCATTTGGTGCGAGCTGTGCTGGTCGGTGAAAGAAGCTGGCCGTCTTGCCTTAACCATGTGACCGTCTTACCCCATGGGGTGGGGTAAGACGGGTTTTGCAAGGTTTTGCAAAAATAGCTGCAGTTTTTTTAATCAGGTCTACGTCTCATCTCCTGGCAAATGGAAGTAAAATGTCTAAAAAAGGTTTTCACTCAGTTTCCCGTTTCTATGATGTTTCTAACCGGCCGAAAAATGGCTCCAAAGTTAAGGTGCCCGTCTTACCCCACTTTCCCCTAGCATCTTCAAATATCTTCTGCATTGGCTATGAGTCATACCATTCCCCCAAAAGATGCCTCATTTGGTCGCGACAAACCAGCAGGCACGGTGAGTGAGCCCTGCATGTGCGGAAATGCGAAGTGTGTAACCCAACACTCAGGGGCGTCGCCACGGATTTTTGACAGGGGGGGACGGATTGGCTGACTAAAAACCCAAAAGTTAGTTAGTTTACCGTACAATTTCAGGCCTATGCACTACTTGTAACGCGTACACAATGCACATGTTCTCATGTTCTCGCGTGGAGGCGTTATTAGTCACACTCTTTTCTACCTGTGCATGAACTGGCGGCGCGAAGCGCCGCGAAAATTGGCAAAAACTCTTGGCAAAACAGTCCTAATACGCATAAATTTTGCATCCCGCGTAATAAGTTTGATACCAGGACAGTTAGGGTTTGGTCACCAAGTCCAGCAGCCCTGCCTCTAAAAAATCGTGTGGTCCTCTGTAAACCGCTGTCAACCATAGGTACAGCTTTTTTCCAACTTCTGTGCAGTGTAGCTGCAGGACTGCGGGGTCGGAGTCGACTTCGGTCGTAGTCAATGGTTTTGGTCGGATACGGAGTTGGAGTCACCAAAATCGTAACAGACTTCAACTCTGAAGTCAGAGTCAACGTCATCCCCGAGGATGGGTCGAATAAGAGCTGGAGATTCTGTTGGCTGTGGTGATTGTAGGGGTCATGGTAAGACCAATGTAGGGGGATACTGAGCATTACGTCCTCCTGGGCTCTCTCAGACCAGGACGAGGTCCTCTCACCCTCAAGCATCAAGCGTTCAAAGGCCATAGTGAGACCTTCTGCTGTCGGATGGCCTCGAACGGGAAGAGGGCCGTTTGAGAGTGAGCTAAAGGTCTTGACTATTACGAATATCCTATGTAAAATGTGTGGTCTCTGCAAGCTGTTGTCCTACTGCACTCTGAGACTTTGGGACAGATCTTCAGCCCTTGTTGGATATGGTCGCCCCTACAAGTGGAGCTTTGGCTCCCTATCGAGGACCTGGGACGGACAGTCCAGAGCTGCACCTCGTAGGCAATGTTATCTTTTAATGTGCCAAGAAACGTTCAAAGATACAAAAGCATCACCACATGTTTTTTTTTTTCACTCCGATGCGTGCCGAGGGATGCCGTGGTCGGAGATGGAGTGGGGACTCCGAGCGTTTTTTTTTTTAAGCCGGAGTCGGAGTCACCAAAATCATCTACTCCGCAGCCCTGTAAGCAAGGGTACAGTGTCAGCAATTCACAGATTCAATTTGTATACGAGTAGGTATCCGCAATTTCATCCCAAAACGACAATACACCAATGTCGTAGGTCACTTTTTAAATCATTCATGGGGATATTTTTGCGGGGGACGTCCCCCCCGGATTCCTCGACTGGGGGGGACGCGTCCCCCCCGTCCCCCCCGGTTTCGACGCCCATGCCAACACTCATGTGCACTGAGGCGATCGAAAGCAGGCCACAGAAGGGAGGGGCAAGGAGGGGGGGGGGGATATCGACCGACGGCGACCGAGC